TGTGAGTCGTTCGGGCTCTTCGTGGTGTGAGTCGTTCGGGCCCCTCGTCCGGGTGTGAGTCGTTCGGGCTCCTCGTGGTGTGAGTCGTTCGGGCACCTCGTCCTGGTGCGAGTCGTTCGGTCCCCTCGTCCTGGTGTGAGTCGTTCGGGCTCCTCGTGGGGCCTCTTGGGGGCCTCCTTGGGGCCTCTTGGGGGCCTCTTGGGGGCCTCTTGGGGGCCTCCTTGGGGCCTCTTGGGGGCCTCTTGGGGCCTCGTGGGGCCTCTTGGGCTCTTGGGGGCCTCTTGGGGGCCTCTTGGGGCCGCTTGGGGGCCTCTGGGGGGCCTCTTGGAGGCCTCTTGGGAGCCTCCTGGGGGCCTCTTGGGGCCATCTTGGTGCCTCTTGCGACCTCCTCAGAAGCGCAAATGAGAGCTGCCCCCTGAGAAGGACAAAATGAGCCCAAAACCCTCGTAAAATCAATGATTTTGTTATGAAGGACGAGGAGCGCTGCCCCCTCAGAAGGCCAAAATGGGGCAACAACCCTCGTAAAATCAATGTTTTTGGCTTCACAGAAGAGGAGAGGGCTCTATCTTCCCCCCCCCGTCGGGGCCAGAATCCTCGTGAGGGTCGTCGTTTTTTAGCCCTCCCAGGAGTCGAAATTGACCCCCCTGACGACCCGCCGGACCCCTTCTCCAGGCCCAGGGGGAGGGGGTAGGGGGAGGGGTAAACCCCTCCCCGAAGGGGAAGAAGGGGGGTTGAGGACAGAGCGGGCTCTCTAAACCACTCACGCCCAAAGGGCTGGTGGGATTTGTGGGTTCTGGGAACATGTCGTAGTAGGCCTATAGGAATGTCGGGACGGTCGGTCCCTGCTCATTTTGGGACCTGGGGGGTACGGCAGTGTCCTCGTCGGGCCTCCTCGGGGCGCGGCGGAGAGCTCCGACGGGGTCCCCGCCCCGCCCCCCAGGGTGCCCCCCAGGGTGCCAGTTGCAAACCACACCCTTTGCAGACTATACCCTTCGGAGTCGCCGAAAGGGAGTCGACCTCACTGCGACGTTTCATTTTCCCTGTTCCTCAATTTCCGTCGGGCTGGCGACGGCGATGAGGACGAGGAGGAGGAGGAGGACGACGACGATGACGACGACTCAAATGGAAAACCGTCTCACACACGCCGAAGGGTCGGCGGGTTCTAAGCCTCCCAGATGGGGTCGGAGTAGATGGGGTAGGAGGATCGTGCCGCATCGCCGATGCGGTTGGATGAGCCCCATTTTCCCCGCGCTGGCGTCGCCGATGCAGCGCCACCGTCGCCCATCTATCGGCGGTGCATCGCCGATGCATCGGCGGTGCGGCGCGATCCTCCGACCCCATCTACTCGGACCCCCATCTAGGATGCCTCTAATCATCCTCATTCCAGTTCTCGTTGTCCGACACCTCTCCTCCATCCCCCGTCGCACCTTTCCCGTGAGGCACTGTTGCCCTGAAGCCGGTGCAGCGATTGCACTGCGAGGATGATGGGGACGCGCGCCTCCAAAGACGTGGCAAGACAAACAGACATGGGTACAGTTGGGGCCCTGAAGAAGGAACCCTTTTCGTTGGGGAGGGGCTCCGTGTTCCTTGATCGTTTCGCAGCTTGCCTTAGAGTTTCCGTAGGTTTTCGATACGAAATCGAAGTTTAACTTATGGAAAATAGGGGCCTCGTTCCTTATTTAGGGTTCCTTAGGTCAACGCCTCGACTGTATGACGCAATCCCGGTACATGTGGCATGAGGTGGTCCGGCGGCCCGAAGGGTGTTACAGACCTCCGACGATCCGTTCTGGAGGGTCTCCGGGGGTCCGAATTGCAGCGAGCGGCTTGAGTAAGGAACGCTTGTTTTTCAAAAGGGGCTCCGTCGTTCCTTAGCCTTGCATGCGTTATCTGTGGCTCCCTATGCGTCCTTTCTTATGTATCGTTCGCTGTGCGCTGTTCCTCGGGAAACAATCACCGGCCTGGAACAGATCCCTATCCTTATGATTGGCATCGCCTCGTCTCGATGCCGATCTTAGGGATTCCCGCCGTTTCTGAGGGCGCATCCCTGAGATTGTCGTCGACTTTTGGCTTGTTAATCTTAGGGATAGGGAAAGGTTCGAGTCTGGTTAAAAAAGGGCCTTCGTTCCTTATTGATCGTTCCTTGGGTCAGGCCGATGACTGTACATCTTCGGCCCCCGGGGCCTTCAAAAACATGGACCGAAGGCGCAAATGCGGCCCCGAGGCAGGAGGCGGGAGCTCTGCCGCGGACGGAGCACACCTCCTCGGCGGATGCCCGGGTCAGGTCGGGTCTGCCCCACTTACAGGAGGGATATCGAAAGATATAGAAAAGTTGTCTGGGGACGGTGCTTCGATCCTTTTTTGGTCTTTCGTCCAGAATCCGCCTGCAGGGGGACGTGCCCGACCTGCTGCCGGGGCGACGGCGGGGCTCGGAGGGCTGCTGGGCGCCGCTCGGAGCGTGGGCCCTCCCCCGCAGACCTCCGAGGACCTCCTCGCTATCGTGCCTTCTTCCTTCCCCTCGTGGGCAGAGCCGGCGAGTGTCCAAGGCCTGCGGGCGTCGGGCCAGGCCTGTCGACGTGCGGCCCTGCAGCGGAGGCCCATGCCTCCGCGGTGCCCTGGGCTTCTTGGGCTTCGATTGTTCTGCCGTGGAGAGCGTGGCGACGATCCCACAACAAGAATCAAGGGACGTCCGGGGGGTCTCAGGGTTGGGTTTCTGTTGTGGAAGGCTTCCGGTGGTTGGGCCCCTACTGTATTGGGATCGGGCCATTCGCACCTCTGGGCCTGAGCCTGGCCACGGCTCCTTTCCACAGGCGTGCGCACGCGTGCGAGCGCACGCGTGCGCATGGAGAAAGAGGCGGAGTAGGAGGACCAGGAAGAGGAGGAGGAGGAGGAGGAGGAGGAGGAGGAGGAGGAGGAGGAGGAGGAGCAGGAGGAGGAGGAGGAGGAGGAGGAGGAGGAGGAGGAGGAGGAGGAGGAGGAGGAGGAGGAGGAGGAGGAGGAGGAGGAGGAGGAGGAGGAGGAGCAGGAGGAGGAGGAGGAGGAGGAGGAGGAGGAGGAGGAGGAGCAGGAGGAGGAGGAGGAGGAGGAGGAGGAGGAGGAGGAGGAAGAGGAGGAGGAGGAGGAGGAGGAGGAGGAGGAGGAGGAGGATGCAACACTGCGCGCAAGCGCGTGCCCGCGCCTGCCCAACCAACAGGACGAGAGCCTGGCCGGCACAAGCCCCGTGCGGCGTGCCAGCCCCGGCTGCAAAGCCTCACAGAGCCTCACGTCGTGATCGTCACCTTCAGCCGCGACCGTTGAGGTTGCCACCTCGCAGTCCCGGCCTCTCTCTATTCCTTCCTCTCCTTCCTCTTCCCTCCTCTTCTTCTCGGCGCTCTTTTCACCCCTGAGTCGTTGCCGTAAGGAAAGTCAGGGGTCAGGTCTGCCGCGCACCGCCACGGAGTGCACGTGCCGCTCGAGAGATGTTGCGGTCGCCCCCATTCCTCTACCTCCTCCTTCGTCCAAAAACTGAGCCGGAAAAAACAACAAACCAGAATGTAAGAGCTGCCTAACAGAGCCTCACGGAGCCTCACTCGAGGAAGAAAGCACACGCCATGAGCATCAACTCTCGGCGTGCCACGCGGGCTTCTTGGACACCCGCACCGGGCCACGGGGCCGTCAGGAAACGGCTCGGGACGAAGCCGGTCCCGAGAGGAGGGGCCGATACCTCCTTGGGGGTCCATGCGGGGCGCCCCAGAAGGCGAAGGACAAAAAGCGGCATGGACATACAGTGGGGGCGCGCATCAAGAGACCAGCTGACTTTCGTCAGGGTACCCTGGGTTTCTTCCTTCCGCGTTCTGCGCGGTGACTTCCCGCGGCCGTCAAATAAGTTGATTCGTTCAGGATGCTCGGGTTTTTCCCGCAGGTGCACCTCGCGCGCGGATTTCCAGGGTTGGGTTTCTTGCGATGGTTTCTTGCGACCGCTCCCGCACTGTACAGTGGGGGCCCATGCCAAGAAACACCCTGCTTGCCTCCAGGGCGCCCAGGGTTTCTTGGATTTCGAAGGTTTTGCCGTGGAACGCGTGACGTTCCCGCATCAATAATCCATGGATGTCCTGGGCTCTCAGGGTTGGGTTTCTTGCAGAAGGTTTCTTGTGGTCGGGCCCCTACTCCCTACTACTGCAAACTGTTGGCGGTCCGCGCGGATTTCTTGGATCTGCGCTGGGAACCCCCTGGCGGCGCCTCCGCCCCTGGCGCGTTCCGCGCGCCAGGGAGGGGTGTCCAGCGCAGGTCAAGAGGTCCGCGCGGAGCGCCAAAAGTGTATTTTCATGCCGCTTTTTGATCTTCTACTCACGGCATCAGAGTGTAAGAGTTGCGCCCCGAAACGCAACCTCCGGAAGAGAGGTGGTAATCAATGCAGGCTCCCGGCCTCAGGCAGACCGCCTGCACTTCACAATCGACTGCTCGCGGGCGAGTTCCACGTGGCAGTCGTTCTCTGGCGGCGCCTCGCCAACCCCAGCAAGATCGGTGGGAGAATCAGCGGGGTATCCTCGGCAGTGAAGGAGGAAGATACAAAGTCGATGCTGCCCGAGCCGCGGCCAGCTCAATGGTGTGTGCATCCATGTACGCTTGGGGGTACAACCACGAGTCGAAATAACTCCGGAGGGCACGTACGCTTGGATGCATGTCAATCCATTGCGAACACAACCCGCATGAAGAAATACATAACCAACCAGAGCGAAGGGATGCCTGGACGCCCACATGTGTAGTCAGCGGAAGGTTCACATAATCATTGGGATTGGACATGCTCGAGGAGCTTCTTGACGCGAGCTTCCTGGTTGCGTGGGACCGCGTCGTCCGCCATTTGTTTTCCGTAGAATGCCAAGATCAGCTTTGCGAACACAGGCTCGGCCAACTTCTGGACAATGGTGTTCTGTGGCGTGGCCGCCTTCTTGTCTGTGATCTGGTTCTGATGCTGGAGCTCCGCCTCCAATCACATCTTCTGGACTGGGGGTCAGCTCGGTCCCGTCGGTGGCATCACTGGCCGAGCTCGCGGCGCCGTTGCCCAGGCCCGTGCTTTCGTTGCCCACGCCCGTGCCGGCCTTGTCAATGGTTCGCTCCAGGTTGGTCCATAGCAACCTTGGCTCAAGCTTTCTCGGCCACAGCTTCGCCCCGGCTGCTTTCCTGGCGCCAACCAAGGTTAAGTCGGGCACGTCCCTCTACAGGACAAATATAGATTGTGGACGATGTGTTGAATACTTTGTTGTGTATATTTGGGGGGATCTGTTTTGACTATCTTCTTTATGTTTCCCCCAAAATCTGCCTCTAGGGGGACGTGCCCGACCTGACACCAAGGGGACCATGGCCCTCCGCTCCAGCGTGCTCACGACGGCCGCCGTGGCTGCCCTGTGCCTCCTGGCGCTGCGCGGCCTGCTCGCCCCGGGCCAGAGCCAGGCCGCCTTCGCTGCCCCCGAGGCCGGCCGCACGCAGTCGGTCCACCGCCACTGCAGGCCCGTGGCGGGCAGCGACCGCATCCTCGCCTCCGGCGCTGCCCCGGCCGTTCTGAGCACCGTCCCGGCGCGCCAGGGCGTCGCCGCGCACTTCAAGGTGACGCTGGAGACGCCGGACGGCACCCAGGAGTTCGAGTGCCCCGAGGACGTGTACATCCTCGACCAGGCCGAGGAGGAGGGCCTCGAGCTGCCCTACTCCTGCCGCGCGGGCTCGTGCTCGAGCTGCGCGGGCAAGGTGCTGTCGGGCGAGATCGACCAGTCGGACCAGGCCTTCTTGGACGAGGACCAGACGGGGGAGGGCTTCTGCCTCACGTGCGTGACGTACGCGACCTCGGACGTGACTATCAAGACCCACTGCGAGGACGATCTGTGAGGTGTCGAGGACGTGGTCGGAGCACAGCAGGGTCAGCGGCACGCGGCACTGGTGCCGATTTGCTCCGCTGCCTCCGTCGATCCCCATATCTAGCGAGTGCTCGGTGGAGCCTCGTGGTTTTCAGGATTTTCTTGCATTCGGCATGCGCTCAAGGACGCGCGTGCTCCAACTTGCGTGGATAGCTGCGGAGTGGCATGGTGGTCACCGCAGAACACCTTCGATCACAGAACAAAATGATCCGTTCCAGTTTTGTGTCCAAGGAATCTAGGAAGTACCCCGCCCTGCTTGCGCCACTTGTCTCCTTCGGCTTCCTCCTCCTCAGTTGGCACGTGCGATCAGCAATTTCCCAAACAGAGCTTGCACTTAGGGGTTCCTACTACTGTTCTACGGAACTGGGCCTGACCGCCGGTCTGGCGGCTATGTTGTCGCCGTCGCCGCCTCGTCGCCGTCCGTCGTCTGGCCAGTCTGGCGGCCATGTTGTCTCCGTCGCCGCCCCGTCCCGTCTCATGGCGCTCGCGGATGCACTCGGCGCCGAAGTTTCGGGGCGCTTTGAGGCCTTTTGGGGCGCGCGGGCCGGAGGTTTCGTGGCACTTTGGGATCCTGCGCGACGCGCGGACGTGCCCGGCGCCGAGGTTTTCGTTGCACTTGCAGACGTGGCGAAACCCTGTGGGATGCGCGATTGGGCTCGGCGCCGAGAGTTGTCGTTCCACCTCGAGACCGCGTCAGATGCGTGGACGTGCTCGGCGCCGAGAGCTTCGCAGCACTTTGAGGCCGCGCGTGGCGCGCTGGTGCGCTCGGCCCCGAGGGTTTCGTTGCGCTTTGAGGCCGCGTGGGGCTCGCTGATGTGCTCGGCGCCGGGGCTTTCGGGGCACTGTGAGACATTGTCGGACCGTTGAAGACCGCCTGAGACCGCCATCGGGAGCCGCCTGGCGTGTAAACTTGTCTTGTTTACAAAGAGACCCGCCGGACACCCACTCGTTTTGACTCAAGAGGCATGCGCCATTCCGCAGACCCCCAGAGGAGGGATGAAGTCAACGGGTGAGGCCTTTTGGAGCCTCTGGGGGACCCTCTGGGGGCCTCTTTAGGGCCTCGTGGGGGCCTCTTCGGGCATCTTGGGAGTTTCTTGGGTGCTTGCTGGCGGTCTCGGGGGTCCTCTTGGGGCGGAGGGTTCGGAATGTCAGTTCGTGCTGCCTCTCTTGGGCCCCTCTTGGAGCCCTATTGGGGCGCTCTTTAGCTATCTTGGGCACCTTGTGGGTCGTCTTGGGATCCTCTTCGGCCGTCTTGAGTCCCTCTTGGGGGCTTCTTGGGCCGTCCTGGATCGATCTAGGGGCCTTGTGACCCGTCTCGGTCGCTGTTGAGACCAAAACTACGGATATGTGCGAATCAAGCATTTCCCCTCAGTATTTGGACGATTCTTGCTTCTTGGAGCCCTCCCGGGAGTCGTCTTGGAGCCCTCTCGGGGCGTCTTTGAGGCCTCTTGGGCAGTCTTGAGGCTATCTTGGTCGTCTTTAAGGCCTCCTGTGCGTGTAGGACCCCTGCTTGAGCAACCGCAGAGCGATTCTTCAGCATCCTGGAGGCCACGGAGAGGGTAGAACTGGAGGCTCTGGAGGCCTCACATGAGCGTTGGCGAGCTCGGGACCCCACCCGCTCGGCCCCTCCCCCCCCCTCCAGTCGGATCTCAGACCCCAGCGGTGGGGGAAAGGCCCTTCCCCTCCCATGCTATGGGCAGGGACCGAGAGGGGCAGACTGCTGGGCCAGGCCTTCGCCACGCACCTCGGCAACCCTCTGGGGCAACAAGCCACACCGTGGCCCGCCCAGCATACAGGGAAAGGGGGATGGGGGACAGCCAAATCATCTCGCGCGTCCTTGCACCCCCCAGCAGGCAGGGGTCGGCCGATCCTCAAGAAGGGGCGGGAGCACCCGTGAAGGTGGCTCGGGCTCGGGCACGGGGGGGGCGCCGCCCAGGCGCGCCCAGCGTCGCAGAATCTTGAGAACGAGCGCTGCGGCCCCCGTCGGCTCGGTGTGCGTGAAGCGCCCAATGTGACTGCATGGGGCTGTCTCGGAGGTGATGTGCACGCAAAAGTGCACGCGCCCATTTCCAATTCTTGTTCGTGGGCTTCACGACGACGTTGGGGGGAGAATGGAGGAGGAGTGAATGGATGAGGCTCGAGGATGATTAGGGTGGAGGGATAATGAGGGGGACGGTGAGGATGAGCCAGCAGAGGATAAGGAGGAGGATGAATATCAGGAGAACGAGAGGGTAAAGACGCGGAGGAGGCGGGCATTTCAGAGGTCGCTCTCTGGCGAGGTCCAATCTGCAACTGCTTGGATTGAAGCCCGATGACGTCCTCGCATCAGAGGTTACGACGAAAACTCGGATGCCATGATGCCATTGGGGGTGCCGGCAATTGGTGGCGACGATGTCGTCGTCTACGTTTTGTGCTGTTACGTTGGCGGAGATGGCGATCGAAGCAACTGCACAGAAGTGACCGTCTCGCCGGTCACGACGGCCCCGTTGTTCGTCATGCTTGTATCGAACAAGTTTCGCTCGACCCTGTCCAGCAGTACAGCGGAAACCCATGCCAAGAGACACACTGCTTGCCTCCAGGGTGCCCTGGGTTTCTTGGGTTTCGATGGTTTTGCGATGGAAAGCGTGACGTTCCCACATCAAGAATCAATTGTCGTCCTGGGGTCTCAGGGTTGGGTTTCTTGTGGAAGGTTTCTTGTAGTCGAGCTCCTACTGTAGTATGATGGCTGCAGCTCACCAGTCTGATTCGCCGCGCTGTTGTGCGTCAGATCCCGGCCATTTTTCGGAAAGGGCCTCGTCGTCGGCGAACCGCACGGTCAGCCAATCGCCGCCTCTCGCTTCGTGCCCTCGGTCGAAGCCGGCAAGAGGCAGACGGGGGCCAGTGAAAGTAGACGATTGCGGGCGTGTTCTGGAGCCCGCGCAAGAAAGAAATGTGACTCCCCAGAGAGGTCGAGCTTCCTCGAGCCACCCATCTCTTGAAGCCCTAACTCTAGGCCTCCTAGATGGGGTCGGAGGAGATGGGGTCGGAGGATCGCGCCGCATCGCCGATGCATCGCCGATGCGGCTCGATGTGCAGCCCGATTTGCTTCACGTCGACGTCGACGATGCATCGCCAGTGCATCGCCGATGTATCGCCGATGCGGCGCGATCCTCCGACCCTATCTACTCCGACCCCATCTAGGAGGCCTGGTTGCCAAGCAGTGGCAATGCAAGGCAAAGCAATGCCAAGCAATGCCGAACGATTCCTCGCAATGTCAGGTAATGCCAGGTAATGCCTAATAACGGAGAGCCACGCAAAGCAATGCAAAGCAACGCGAAGCAATGCCAAGTAATACCAAGCAATTCCGAGTCCTTTCTTGTTACTTTCCGCGCGGAGGGGAGCTTTCCTGTAATTGGTGCCGCGCATTGTTGTGCCCCGTCCGTCCTCCTCGCTGCAACTGGATCAATGGAGTTGTCCTCCTCTGTTCAGGCGACCAGACTTGCGAACATGAGTCTTAAGACGCCCGCGCGGATCTCTCTGAGTCGGCGGCGGTTCCCCCGTCGCCGCACGCCTTTCCTGGCGGGCGCGCGCGCCGGCGGCGGCGGAGGGGGCTGCCAGAGGTGTTGGGAGGGGGTCCTGGCGCCGATCCAGGCAGGCCGCGCGTTCCTCCGAAAGCTGATGAGTGTGTGTGTGTGTGTCTGTTGTCTCCGGCAACACCACATCGCTCACCCTCCGGATCTTCGCCTCTGGCCCCTGTCCGCGGCGCACCTTTTCCTGTGCAAGCTCTTCGGCACCGCCTGCACCCCGTGCCCCGCCCACTCCGGCCGCCTGAGGCCCCGCCCGCCTGTGCCCTGTCTCCTTGATTAAAGCTGTGCATAGCCCGCCTAGGTTTTAGCGGAAGAGGTTCGCTCTCGCCCCGCCGACCAAAAAGTGTGTCTGTTGTCTTCTGTCTACGGGGCTGGGGCGAGAGCGCGGCAATGATGGTGCGGGTGGTGCCGTGGCGACGAGGGCCCGCCGGGAGGCAGCAGCCTTCGAGGACTCACGAGGCCTTCGGAGGACCTCCTCATAGGGACGGGCAGGCTCGCTCTTTCGACCTCTGCTGAGGTCTGGCTGTTGGCAGGTCCCGCTGGAACTGCCAGCGAACCCTCGAAAAGAGGGGGCCTAGGGCGCCATGAGCGCCAGCTGCTCCAAGACAGCTGCGGCACGATGTCGGTCTGCGGAGTGAGATTCACTGTTGCTGCTTCTGGTTATCCCGCCTACCACCCCAAAAACTCCATCCAGAAATTCATGCTTTCGCAGGCCTCGAGGTCGACACCAACACCAATGTCGGCGGCGTGGCGGCGTGCCTCCACAGAGGGAAGAAGATCCAGATCTCGGTGATGGTGGTAATAATTTGGCTTCCAAGGTGGCCGAAATATTACCACCAACACCGAAATGTAGGATCATCTTCCCCCTGTGGAGGCAACCCCCTGTGTTGGTGTTGGTGCCAATTTCCAGGCCTCCACTGCTTAGCTCAACGACTCGTTTGGCCACCGGCCGTTGATCGGAGGCTGCCAGTAGTGACAGACCTGCGCTGCACCGTTGGTCGTTCTAAGGGCGACGAGAGTCGCCCGCCTGTCTCTACACATTGTTCATTTCTAGTTCTTCGAAAGTGCCTTGATTTTTTTGGGGGCCAAGATCCTTTCATTTCTAATTGTTCTTTCTGGGCTTCTTCCTGGCCACTAGGGGGCCAGGAACAATTAGAAACGAGCACAATTAGAAGAAATGAACCTCCTCCCTCGGGAGGTGGCGGAACGACAGTCTGAGGTGCTGCGGTGCGGCTGGTGAGGTGCATGTGGGTCGTCCCTCCCCCCCACATCTCCTTGCACGTCGTGCCGCACCAAACACCCACAGACGTCCTCCGCCGAGGGTGGAGAGGGGGGCGGGCGGCAGATGCAGATGCCGTGCATGGGCAACACGCCGCTGATCGGCGGCGTCGCAGGCCCTCCCCCTGACGGTGGTCAGCAGCGTCCCCCGTGGACCCCTCTGTCGGACCCAGGTCTACGGTTAGGAATTTTGGCTTAGCGTGTCGCTCCGCCAGTGCTGGCCCACTACGTTTCGGTGCAAGTCGCTATCCACTCCCATTCCCAAGAATCTACGTCCCGAGTTTTGCCCAGCCTCCCGCTCCGTGGAGCGGAACGACATGCTATACGCTCGCCAGGCATAGCCTGTCGCCCTGCCGCTGGGGCCGCCGCCGCGACATGCTATGCAACAGTTCCTGACAGCACACGGCCCTGGCTGATCCAGGCTAGATCAGCATGAAGGAAGTGGGTCCTGAGCGGTCCTGAGTTTTTTCGCTGTCTGCGGCTTCTGGGGGCCCCTGGACCGTCAAACAACGACTGAGAACCCTGGTATCTAGGATCCGTTTCCCTCTCAGAACCCCTTCCGCCATGCCAAGTTAGCGCTTGTCTCGGCGCATCCCCGAAGATCCATGCGTCGTCGTGCGCGAAGCCGCGAGCGGCACTTTTGCCCCGCTGCATGCCCTACAGGAGGCCTCCCCGGCTCGGTCCAGCTCGAAGGATCCCGCATTGGGGGTGGGATCAATGGCTCAGCTGGTGATGCTTCCTTGCGTTGTGTGTGTGTGTGTGTGTGTGTGCCCAGTCCTGCCTTCCACCTCGCCCCTCTTCCGCGTCAGGAGGCAGGAGGACCGCGGAGGACCGCGGAGGACCGAGGAGGAGGAGGAGGAGGAGAGGGCAGAAGAGGCCATGATTGAGTATGGCTGCGGCTTGGGCTCGCCGACAATCACCATGCGGGCTGAATGCGGAGCCGCGACGGTGACTGTTGGCCCAGAAGCTGTGTTAGCGTTCCCAGTAAAACATGGGTATTGATATTATCAATCGTATTTTTAGTCTAACTTCTATGACTGTTCGCAGTCGCATCAGCAGTGTATTTATTCCCCACACCCAAAGTGGGTTTCGTGTTTTCTCTGCACACTCCCGCGCAGGAACCTCACACCTCACTCCCTCTCCTCCCCACTCACTCACTCACACACAGTCATACACTCATCATCAGTATCATCATCACCATCACCATCACCATCACCATCACCATCACCATCACCATCACCATCACCATCACCATCATCATCATCATCATCATCATCATCATCATCATCATCATCATCATCATCATCATCATCATCATCATCATCATCATCATCATCATCATCATTCGCTCACTCACTCGGCCTCGTCTGTGAGTGAATTGCGCGGAAGTCTCGGGCGGGAGCCCCTCCCTATAGGGTCTGCAGCTCATGTTTTGAATCCGAGGCGGGTCATCGAAATCCTGTAACTGTCGTCACTTTTGGGCTCCTCAGGCTTGGATCTTGATGAAGTCTCGGGCGGGTGCTTCGTCTGTGAGTGATTTGCGAGGAAGTCTCAAGCGGGAGCCCCTTGCTTACTGTATGGGTCCCGCACTTCATGTTTTTTGTCCACACGGGTCATCGGAACCTTGCAACTGTCTTCACTTTTGGGCTCCTCAGGTCTGGATCTTGATGAAGTCTCAGGCGTGTGCCTCGTCTGTGAGTGCATTGCGAGGAAGTTTCAGGCGGGAGCCCCGTGCCTCTGGGTCCCGCACATTCTGTTTTTTAATTTGAGCGGGCCATCGGAGTCTTGTAACTGTCTTCATGTTTGAGCTTCTCAAGCTTGAATTTTGAGGAAGTCTCAGGCGGGTGCTTCGTCTGTGAGTGATTTGCGAGGAAGTCTCAAGCGGGAGCCCCCTTCGTATGGGTACCGGTGCCGCATGTACGTTTTAATCCGAACGGGTCATCGGCACCTTGAAACTGTCTTCACTTCTGTGTTCCTCAGGCCTGGATCTTGAAGAAGCCTCAGGCGGGAGCCTCGTTTGTGAGTGAATGCCGATGAAGTCTCAGGCGGGAGCCCCTTCCCTTGGGGTCCGCAGCTTATGCTTCCAATCCGAGCGGGTCATCGGAATTTTTGTAAATGTCGTCACGGCTCTTCTGAACTTAATATGGAGAAAGTCTCACGCGGGGGCTTCGTCTGTGAGTGGATAGCGAGGAAGTCTCAGGCGGGAGCCTCTCCATGGGGCCCGCGCTTCATGTTGGTAATCCGGGCGGGCTATCGGCAAA